AATAAAAATTACGTAAACATTATTTTAGGCATATTTCTCTCAGTTCTTTCTTACAACTTATTTCTTATGGATAGATCTTACTTATTACATAAAGTCTACATATATATTCTTGAATTTTTCATGACTTAGAATAAATTCTTGCAACATGTTGGTGAGGAAGATATAAATAAAAGATATGTTAGTATCTTAAAGAAAGTTTACATTAAATGTTTCGCAATTCCGCCAGATTTCTTATATCATATGAGGGGTTGGAGGTATTTACATTCTGGTTATTAAGAGACGTGGCAATGGTAATACTAGATTGAATATTAGTGATTTGAACGAAGGAACGGGTAAAACAAAGATTAAGAACAAGTATAAAGATTAAAAATTAAGAACTGAAAGAAGAACCGAAAAAAAACCATAAAATTTTAGCAGTTCGGTTACGGTTTCGGTATGATAAACTATACAAAATTTGGATACGGTTTCGGTTTTAGTTCACTAAAAAAAAGGGTTTCAAAACGGTTTTCGGTTCCGATTTCGGTTCGGTCCGGGTCCCTGATCAAAATTGAATTATTTTCTTTTTCTGGTGCAGAAAGTAATTTTCATAATTTAAATATTTTTTCCAACGTTTACATAGCAGAATAATTTAGTAGAGACCTTAAAGAATATGTGTGAATTTTTACAGAATTTTTCAAGCACTTTAAGAGCCTTAAAATCGAGTCGGACACAAATGATCCGTGTGTGTCGTCCAAAGGTACCGAAAATAAGTGTGTCGTTCGAGGCTTAAGATTTTTCACCCTGTGTTTTTTCGATGGATATAATACTTAGATTTGACAAGCGATGTTGAGACATGGTCCCAGAGAACACGAATGTCTAAAAGACTTCTAAATAACGTCTTAAGAGAGACAGCTTTAAGACTTGTCTAAAAGTTGTCTTTATAACGATTTTTAGTCAAATCCTAAAGACATCTATTTTTTTAGACGTCTTTTAGACGTCCATTTTAATTCGTCATTAAGACGACTTTTAGTCATGTCTTAAAGACATCTCTTTTTAGACGTTTTTTTCCAAAGATTTGATATTTTTAATGTCATTATAAAGACATATCATTAAAATGACACATGTCATTTTAATATGTGCACATATGTGACACGCGTCATACTACAAGATTTTATATTATATAAGTCATTAATATTTGGCTAAAAATTGAATATTAGCTTATTGCAATCGCAGTGTTTTTATTTTGGTGTAGCGTCGTTTCGGTCATCATCATACGTACGGATGAAGAATCGAGACGTACGAGCGTAGCATTGTTCTGCAGCGTGCAAATTCTGACGGTTAGCGATCCAAGCTTATAAAATTGTCCTTGTATTCGTTTCGCAGCATTTTTTAAATATTCCATCGCTGCTCGTAGAGACTCTTCACCGTTTCGAGAGACAGCGACAGTTCGTGTCCGCGATGATTTCCCACGTAACTCGGTGGACGAACGTTGATTCCAATTTCCAAATACTTGTAGCCTGTATTCGACAGGTCGTAACGTCTGCTCAGTAAGCGCACCGCGCAACGCTCCATACTGTGTATATACATAATGTTGAAAACGTTATTTATTGTATAAAACGTTGAAACTTACACGTTATATTCCTTCTTCACGTCGTTCGATGCGCTGCTCTCTTTGGCGAAAGACATTTTCAACCATTCGTACAAGCGGGTATCGCAAGATTGATCACGTATATTTTCCTCGTAAATTTTGACGTATATAGTAATACTTCCAAAATCGAAGAAGGGACTGTCCCCCTCTTTCCAAGAATTTCGAACGTGTCGCAACACGTTTTATCATGTCATTCTACGTATTTTCTTTGTCATAAGTTTATACATACGTTTATATGTACATACGTTTATACATACGTTTGTACATACGTTTGTACATACGTTTATACATACATTTGTACATACGTTTATACATACGTTTATACGTAAATATGTTTATACGTACATACGTTTATACATACGTTTATATGTACATACGTTTATACGTACATACGTTTACACATACATACGTTTATACATACGTTTATACATACGTTTATACATACGTTTATATGTACATACGTTTATACATACGTTTATACATACGTGTATACGTACATACGTTTATACATACGTTTACACGTACATACGTTTATACATACGTTTATACATACGTTTATACATACGTTCATACATACGTTTATACATACGTTCATACGTGTATTACAAAGAAAGGGAAAGGAAAAGAAATCTAAAACGTATTTAAAAAAAAAATCTCATTTTATTTTTTAAACTTGATACATTTTTTTTGGCGTTGTGACCACCAGTTATGTATTTTAAATACATTTTGTAACGCACAATTCTTAATATGTTTTCCACATCGCATTGGTAACATCTAGATTATGTAAAGAATCTATATCTTTGTAATCAGCATCCAAGGTCTCAATGGTCAAGTTGTCGCTATCGAGTATATCAGCCATTCGCGTTTTTCACGTCCTTTTACGAGAGCCTTATTGTCGTCACATTCTTCCGCACCAATTACAGCCATCGTAATTAGGCGTTTCACCATGCTGTACGGGATCATCCCGTCCTCCCATTGCAATCCGTGGTGATAAGTACTCAACCAGGAAGCGCAATACTTTTCTGATTTTGTTAAGAAACTCCACGGCATGGACATGTAAAAACGTAATGAAAGAGAATGGCTCCTTTTCTTAACACCGCCACTTCCTTCACGATAAATTTCTTTCCAACGATAAATACTTGTAGATCCACAAACGTTGGTACGATCATGGTGAACGATTTTTCGAGACTGCGATCGATTTCGATGAATCGTATATTTTATAGCGTGTTGGAAAATGCACTTAGATAATTTTGCGCACAACGTTGGATTGTACTGAACCACGCGATCGTGTATGATGAGACAATAGGCTGTAGTATTTGCGGGCACATTCTCCTTGCAGTCAAATTCTATGCGCACGTCCACAGTGGCACCCTTGACGGATTCGTTTTGTCGCGAGCAATCAATAACCACAAAAGGTCCTTCCTCGGTAAATGAGAGCACATTGAGTAGCGTTTCGAAGCAATCGTTTCCATAATATCCTCTACGAAAACGGGCGTACATATCAAACAGGACGGCGTATCTCTTTTTGCCAAAATCCAAATTTAAATCGTCATACGGATAAAACGTTAAATTTAAATAAAGTTTCACGTTACTCAAATTACAATCGTCGAACACGCTACCATTTTGTGACATGATATTCTTTCGACCGGTCTGCAGAGCAAAGATAACGGATCGCGGCTTCTCAAGCCGAGTCACCGTTTTGACGGCTCATGAATGTTTTGTCGTATTCTGTAACAGAGGATACTCGTACAGATCCCACGAGCGAAAACTCATGCTCAGATAAAGGACCGCTTTCCAATGTTCGCAGTATTGATAATTTATTGATCTCGTTTAACGCAACGTGAGGCATCCGCCACTGTACTTTAAATAATTCAATTTCAGACTCCGTCA